TGAACACGCTCAAGGGCCAGGTAGCCAACGTGGAGACCTCCGTGGGACAGCTGGGACAGCTGGCGTTGCAGATGGGCATCCAGGTGTCGGGGAAAACAAACGGCTCAACACGGGAGCGTTCTCTCAGGCCGAGGGATCATCAGCCTCGGGGGGCGGGGCCCAACAGACAGGCTGGGAAGTCGCACCAGGGGGACAGCCTCCTCCGGACAATAGCGAGACGAGTAAGGGGCCCGACAAGGCGCGAGTGCCGATCTGATCCATATTTCTTCATATGCAGTGCTTCGCGCCCGCCACCTCAGCCAGCGGTGAAGCCAGCGCCTCCCGAGCAGCATTGCCTTCTGAAGTCGTCGGGTTCTGAAGGGGCTCCTGAGTCAGCTGCGTGGCTGGGCAGTGATAGCCGATCATGAGTTAGCTCAATGTCGCGCAGTCAAAACTAAACCGTTGGAGTTTCCTTCTCGGGCAAAGGAAGAAAGCGGGACCTGGGCCGCCCGCCCCAGGGCAAGATCAGGGACTTCCGAGAGGCCCACCCAAAGGGCCCGAAGGGGCCGACCCGCCTTCTTTGAAGTGTTCTCTCTTTCCAGAATCGGGCCAGAGCTCTCGGCAAGGGGGCTTCCGTTGGAAGCGCGCGTGAGTTTTGATATCGAGAGCCCGATGCGACCTGTGAATTCTGGGACGCGGTGCACCAGGACGAGCTGGAAGTCGCGTGGCTTAGCCTAGAGTGTAGAGCCTTCCCAGTCCTGAACAACATCAATACTGCCCATATGTCTTTGGCGAAACGCGATCTGATGGCGTCAGAAAGAGTGGCGGCGCATCTGCTCAGTATAGAAATTGTTGCATGTTCAAGCCAGGCACGGCAGACTCTTCGCTTCCGAACATCTATAGGTTGCCACATATTGGATGTCTGAGGCGGCAGGACCCGTGGCTCAGTTGCCAGAGACGCGCAAGCTAAGGATAGACACGCGCACGTTCAACCTTCAGGTGCAAAGCGACGGTCTCAGCAAGAAACCAACAGGCATCCTAACAAACCATCCGGGGATGCAGAGGGCCCTGGGAGGACACATCTGCCTAGGAGGACACGCACGTGATCTCGGATAATCAACTCCCTCTGAAAGCGCAGGTGCACACACAAAAGGTTGTGCGAGCCGTGGCCCGAGCCATCCTGGACACCCGGGAAGGGGTGAAGCAGGTTGCGCCAGTCTCGCCATTGGACATGCTCGAGAGCTCTGGAGCACGACACTCCCTCGACTACCCTGAGTTCTCCGAAGGCGATGGCCTGGGAGAGGGTGGGTCAGGATCCGATCTCGACGACCAAGAGACGAGGCCAGCACAGCGACCTCGGGGAGGCTGGTCGGCGAGTCCGAGCGTCGGCTGGTGGCCAAGCTTCGCATCAACATGGGTCACTCCGACAACAGGAAGTTCAACCGGGTTCTCCGAGCAGGTGGGACCAACGTCCGGGTGCTCAAATATTCGGGACCCTTTCCGTTGTCCAGATTGCGCCGAAAGAAAGGGGCCCGACCATCATCGCGGGGCGGCGTTTGTTCGAACCTTTCGTTTCAACCACATACTAGAACTGGATGTATTTTACATCAGGTTCGTTGCGCCCTGTCTTGAATCTCGTTGACCACAGGTCGAACCTGCTGATATGCACGCGTCTGCCGGATGCCAGAGCAACAACAGCATGGCGCGGTCTCGTCGCGTCGTGGATAGGACCGTTCGGACCCCCACACACCTGATGATCACCGACGGGGGCCCCGAGTTCCACGACCGATTTTCTCGTGGCTTGACGCACTGGGGGGCCCTTGCATCTTTTCGCAGACCCCAACAGTCCCTGGCAGAACGGAAGAGCCGAGAAACACGGGGGGGATCAAGTCCCGTCTCCAGGGAGAAATCGACTCGGGTTCGGACCTGCCCTCGAATCTCGACGAATTCGACTCTCTCTCCGGAGCGAGCTGACAGCCCACAGAAAAAAGTTTGGGCACCGAGGGGGCTTCTCACCAATGCAGGATGCGTTTGGGCCGCAACCCGCGCCTTCCCCACGAGCTGCTGTCAGACGATGGTTCAGGACTGCCGGGGTGGCAGGACACGTTGAAATCACCCTCGGAGAAGGGGCGCGGACGGGGCCGAGCGCGCTAGAGCTCCACGCGCGAGGGATCGAGCGCGCCAGCTGGCCATGGAAGCGACGGCCCGGGACCGCATCCAGAAAGCGACCAGGACCAAGGGACCTCCAGTGAGAAATTCCGCGCCTGGCCAATGGGTTTTCGCGTGGAGACGCACGGCTAGGGCCACAACTAGATCGGAACCCATCGGAGTCCGTCGCGACGCTTGGACAGACCCAGAGGTCGTTATCCTCCAGGAGGGCGGCACCGTTTGGGTCGCTATGCGATCGAGGCTCTGGAAGTGTTCCATGGGCCAAGTCAGGCCTTCTTCCGCCGAAGAAGAACACGGTTCGCAGCTAGTCCAGGACCCGCCCGCAGTGGACGGTGTTGATGGCACAGACCAGACACGGGAGATTTGCGGCGATAGACGTTCAACGGGAGAGGCCACCCCCCGATGGAGCGCCGGACCGCCCCGACCATGCGGGGGGGGTCTTCCGGCCATCCGCCCCCCCGTCCGCTGCCATGTCTCAGGTTCGAGTCGAGGGGGGCTCTGCGGACCACCAGATCCCCTCGGGAGTGAGTCGCTGCCGTCCCTGTCCCCAGCCCAAGGGAGTGGCCAGACCGGGCCTGAGGGCACTCTGCGGGAACCGCCGGGTCGGTGTCAGCTCAGCCCCCCTTTCGTTTGCCATCCATCTCTGAAGAAGGGCTTCCGCAACATTTCCGAGCCCGTCGATCGAAGCGCCAGATCCCGAGCAACCCCCAGGGCGAATCTGGACTGGAGGACATCTCGCCGCCAGGGCCGGCTTCCATTCGAAATCTTGAGGAGAACCAGAGCGAAGGACCCGGCGCGCCCAACCCCCCGGCGGTTCGGGCGAAGCTTCAGCAGCCAGACGACGTGCCAGGCTGTATCCAATGAGCCCGGGCCGAGGCAAGGTCCGCCGCGCGGCCAGCCGCGAGGAGAGCGAGCTCTCGGAGCCTTCGGACGCCAAGCGCACCCCTATCGAGCCGCCTCCCGGGTTGCCCGTCCCTGACCCTGTTGCAGTCCAAGCTGGCCAAAGCTCGCTGCTGCCGAGAGAGCGAGGTTCGACGTGACAGACGCCTCTGAATGGAACAACATGGCGGGTTCCGAGGCCGCGAGAGTTACACCCCCCCTCTGCAGGCCAGGAAGATTCGGGAAACGATCCCAGAGAGGATTGCGTCATCCAGGATGGTCCGAAGATGGGAACCGCAGGAGGGAACCTTCGCCGAGCCCACTGCGAAATGTCGATGGTGCGCTCATGGCCGCCAGGGCCCAGACACGGGATCGTCGACGGTATTTTCCCCCACCCCACAAACGACGTCGATGATGGCGCTCATGCAAGTGATGATGAATTTCAATATGTTGGGGTATATCGCTGTCCGACCCTATGCGACGGGTCAATGGTCCTCTGTATGTAGAGCCGCGTCACGGTGTAAGGGGTCGAGGAGGGGTTCCCGATCGAGCTGTTGGCGCGCGCGCATGGCCTAGATGACGCCCCAGTATCAGGGCAGCCTGCCATGGTTGAGGAGGTACTGGAAGTTTGGGGAAAAAGAGGAAACATCGTGCTAACCACGCCCTGGTTCGGCACTGAGATGCACCATCTATCCCATTGAGTGGGATAGCGTTGTCTTGCTACTATGTCGGGGCATGTTTTGCGCGCCGATGCTCTTGTATAGAACGAGCCTGAGGGGACAGACTTGTAGCAATTAGGTCGGTCCGGATGCACGTGGTAAAAATGACACCGTTTATTGTACAGCCGTAGCTGCTGGTTCAGCGCAACTTGTACTGCAGAGTAGGCAACCAATTGAATTGGCTTGTAGCCTGCCGCATGATAGCCCCAGCCTGTCACTGCATGGGATTATTCGTGGTTGTCCTCTCTGGGTTGGGCCTTCTGGCATGTTGGTTATGGAGCCGCCATGTGCCGCTTAGCGGTGCAGGGTCCGACCTCCAACCTTCGTTGCTAGATGGCCCAGCATTGCTCTCGACGTGTCCCATCCCGTCTTCCCCCTGCCTCCCCCCCCACCGGTCAGCCAGGGGGGAGGTGGGGTCTTGGCATCGCTCGGACGTGTGCATTTTTCCTTCGGCGAGGACCATCGAGGAGCATCCTTGATCATTTGGCGAAAAAAACACGCACGAAACCGAAACAAGTACAGGGAATGGACGTCCGAGCGATGGCCAGGGGTTGCGCCGCCGCCCCTTGCTCGTTCTAGGTTCGGGTGCAGATGGACGGCTTACTGGAGAGCGCGCCAGCTGATTTTCGCTAGCCGCGGCGACTCGGAGCCAAGACGCGGTCGGCGCAGCCACCGGGCGCCACGACGCCAAGTTGGCTACATCGCAGCGGCACCCACCAGATTCGGCCCGTGATCCCTTGGCGTCACTCGAGCGTGAGGCTTTTTCTCGGCGAGGCAAGTTCAAGAAAATCTGAACCATCCTGGAGAGTCTTGGACCATTTTGTGAGAGAAACGAAAAAAAACGCACACGGCACCAAAACATGCACGGGGAATGGACGTCCGTGCGATGGCAAGATCCAAAATCAGTCCAAGACGCACCCCAGAAGCAGACCCATATCTGCGACGATATGTTTGGTTCAATGCGCGGCCCAAGGAAGTTCCCGACCGCTTTACCAGACGTGTTTTTTCGTCCCAGAAACGTTTTTGATTGTCCTGGACCCCGATAGTGGGCACCAGGCCGAAATCTGGCTCACAAGGATTCGGGCCCTCTGAGAAGTTGTTTGTTTGATTATTCTCCGAAACCGCATAGGGTTTCCAAGAAGGTTGGAGGGTTTCTCAGAAGCCCCGCCGCTTTCTGAGAAGGCCTGCCCCCTCTCACTTCCCCTCTTGGCACGCCGCCGATGTCAGCGCCCCAGACTCAGACGCCCGCCAGAGGCCACCACTGAGGAGGTGGGGGCGGAGGCCGCGGAGGCGGAGACCACAGAGGCGGAGGCTGCGGAGGCAGCCGCAGAGGCGAAGACGAGGGGAGGGGCCGCCACTGGAACGACCACGGCGGCAGAGGTGGCAGACGTCACCACTGAGGCAGAGACCTGGGCAAAGTTGGGGGGCACCGAGTCCAGGCCGGTGTTTCCCCCCCCCCCCCCCTGCGCCGGTCCCCCCCTGACGTTCCCCCTGACAGAGGCGACGGAGGCCGCCGAGGCGACGGCGGCTCCAGTTGGGAGGACGACGGAGGCCACCAGGGCAACAAAGTCCACGAGCGTGACCGACACCACCACGGAGGTTCCGCAGGCGAAGGCCACCAGCGGCGCCATGTGGCGGCAGGTGGGCGTCCGCAGAAACGGGGTCGACTGCGCGGACATTCGCGCGTAACTTCCCCCGCGTAAGGTCTCTCGTACTCGCCCCCGTCTTCACGTGGTGTGCCAGGCTGGCGGCCCGCGGTCCCCCGTCTTCGTGCTCTGTTGTGTAATCAACATAAAGTCCGTTTCTGTTCGTCGCTGAGGTGATGCTGGACGAACAGGCAGAGATCCAGAGGTCGAGTGAGAAGACCCCTGCGGAGGAGGCACTTAGCCCGTGCCTCTCTTGCGACGCGCGGTCCTGCAAGTACGGTGGGTTCGCGACGTCCCGACGCGGCGGCGACCCCAGCGCGGGCGTTCAAGGTTGAACGCTGCCAGCGGCCCAGAATCGGCCTTTTGTGGAACGATCTGGCGATCGAGAAACCGCAGATCGATCAAGGTTGAACGAAACACGCGGTGACAGAGACCAACGCTGGGATCGTCACGACACGAATTCGAGGAGGAGGAGGAGGAGGAGAAGGATGGGAAGGAGGAGGAGGAGGAGAAGGAGGGTGAGGAGAATCGCGTGGACCACGGTCGTCTCTTCTGGCATCCTGTGTTCCTTCGCCCTCGTGGTCCGTCCCCAGACCCTCTCGCGTCATGAAGAAATCATGACGAGAGGCTTTCTTACAGTAGGAGCTCGACCACAAGAAACCTTCTGCAAGAAACCCAACCCTGAGACCCCGAGACGTCCATTCATGTCTGGTGTGGGAACGTCACGCTTTCCACATCAAAACCAGCGAAACCCAGGAAACCCTGGAGGCAAGCAAGGTGTTTCTTGGCATGGATTTCCACTACCATTTTCGGACTCTGGGGGCTCTCGCTGGGCCCCGGCACCGTCAAAAAAGCACGCAGGATGAAAAGCCGGTCCCGGGGAAGGATTCGAGATTTCCAGACGTCCATGTCATGAGAAAACATGATGTCAGGGGTCTGGCTATGTTCTTACTTGAGATGCGACGTCACGAACAAAAACAACTTCGTACCAACAATTCGGCCTTGACCTTCAGTTCCATCTTTCTGCTGCATGTTTTGAGCCCGATCGATTCGTGAGGATCCAGCCCGAAACAAGAGAAATTCGCTTGTCGTGGGGAAATGCGACGCCAGGATTTCAGGGTTTCATGCGTGGTCCTCTAAGTATCGTTTGGGGTACGGCCGTGTCTTCATGCATCTTGTGTCGAAGAAGAAAACAGCACAAAAAATAAACTGTTGGCGCTCCGCGCGAATTTCTTGGATCCGCGCTTGGGCCCCCCAGCGCAGCCCCTGGCGCGTTCCGCTTGCCAGGGAGGGGGTCCAGCGCGAATCTAAGATCCAAGAAATTCGCGCTGAGCGCTTAAGGTTTATGTTTGTGTGTTTTTTCTTCTTCCATCGTGTTCGCTGTCATGGCCTGCCTGCTTGTCCTGCATACTGGGCTCTTCTGCATATTGTGCTCTCTCAGCCCCATGGTGTCACCGCTGGAGCCCACGCGTCGGCAGTCCCACCACTGTGGCAGCAGCAAGCTTGTTGCCATCTCGTGGCTCCTCGCATGGCATGCGTTGCCAGCTAGGGCTGTGATTCTCTCTGCGCTCGCCCGCTCTTGGGCAGCAGCAGTGTACGTTCGACCCTCTCGCAGATCCTGACGACGCTATTTTTTCGCAACGGGCGATGCTGGTTTCTTTCGGGCCGAAATACGGCAGAAAGATGGGGTCCAGGGCTCCGGTCGAGTTTTATTTGGTGTGTTGCAGTTTCTCGTGACGTCGGATCTCAGGGGTCGTCGTCGACATCGTTCTGAGAAAAAGAAGGTACCAATACCGCTACCCTTCCCTCAATGCAATTCCGCTCTTAAGAGGACCTCGTCGCCACGGCTAAATTCGCCAGGGCTCGATGCTCAAGGGGAGGGCCGGCAGTGTCAGGACACGCCCTAAATCTGGGGAACGTAAAGGGGGGTTATTTCAGGGTGAGATCACAGAAGGCGCCAAGCTGGATGCGCACGTTTCTTTCTTCCGGGGGTCGCTTACATCGGCATCATGAATGTAGACTTTCTCGAAGGTCCGCGCGGATTTCCTGGATCGGCGCTGGACCTCCCTCTCTAGCGCGCTTCCGCGCTCCACTGCCGGCGCTGGAGGCGCCGCCAGGAACTCCGCGCGAGCCTCAGAAAGCTTGTGCGTAAGCAGTTGTTCCTTTCCTATTGGAGCGATTCTTCTCCAACCCCACCTCTGCCCCTGCCCAGAGAGATCCAAAGTCTTGAAGCAATCAAGGCGGAAGTGCTTCTCCGTTTTCGCCTTCAGGGCCTTCGTTGCGCCCCGTTCGGGATGAAAAGCTGGCCATAGAGGTTCTTCTGGACAGGGCGCATTGAAGACATCAAGACAGCGTCGCCGCGGCCAAAGCAGGCGTCGCACGGGGTCTCGCCTCCTCGCTTCCAGGCAATGCCAGGGGGGGGCACCACTGTGACGGTCGCCACCTCCTCAAGGAAACGCCATTTCCTCAAGGAGATTGGGCCTCCAGAGCATCCTAAAACCTCCCAAAACGACCACAGACGTCCAAAACCCACCTCGAGCATTGATCCTGGGGCCTCGATTTCAAGGAGAATCTGGTAACCCTCTAACTAGAGTTGACTCCCATGCCATTGCCCCATCGCCCGGCCGCCTCTCCGGGGCTGCCCGACTTGCCCGCGCGCCCAGTCGACGGGGACGCAACAGCCGGCCCTGGTCATGACGTTCCGCCCGATCGGGGAGACGGGGGGGGTGATCGGGTCGGACGCATAGGGGGGGAAGGGAAAGGGAGCGGCTTAAGGTTTTCGGACGTGTGTGAGAAATGGGCATGCGGACACAGATCCCCGCTCGTTTAAAAAGAAAGAAAAAAACGACGGGAGGTGTTCATAATTTTCAGCCTTTGGGAGGCCCTCGCCTGGCCCCGGGATCTTCGATGAACGATTCAGGATGAAAAGCCGGTCCCAGGGAAGAGGTCCAGAGCTTTGGGGAGTCACGTTGCGAATTTCATTACGGAGAATGTCTGGGGGTAAGGGAGCGAGTTGAGGTTTTCGGACACGTACGAGACATGGGCATGCGGGTGGCAGAGACAGGATTGGGAGGAGGGAGGAGAGAGGAGGAAGGACGCGGGGCACTGCTAATTGAGGACGAAGATCCAACTCAACAGGATGATTGTGCAGAACAGGAAAGCAACAAGCAAACAAGCAAACAAGAAGTTCCCCTGTTTTCGCGCAAACAATTGTCTCGTTTATCAGCGGACGGTGGACGTTCCTCTTAGGCGCGGGTTGCTGTACAGCCCGCGCTTGAGAGGAACGAGCGTTGCTCCTGTTTTTTCCGTTGCCATTCTGAACAGTAATCTAAGAGTCTCATTTGCGCTCCTCCCGAAAACCCACGCGCATCGGAAACCCTTCGCGCAATGTTATCGGCATGACTGCCACATAAACAGAGGCGACACAACAACCAGAGAGCACTGCCCCGAAAATATAACTATCCACGCCAGGGTGATTGCTGCGAAGCATGCTCAACATGGGGTCCACAATTATGGGACAAGGCAGTTTGAAAGATAAATGCCGACTTGCGCGCGACGCCACCCACGCCGCTGGCGCCCACTGGGTCCTGGGGCGCACGCGCGCTCGCACTGATCCCTCCTCGGAGCTCGGAGCTAGTGGCGTCAGTATCTCACTGATGGCGAATGGCGCTGCCATCCGCCCCCCCCCCCAGCGGCCGCTGATGTTGATTAAACTGTTCAGTCGCTGAAGCACTGGACGCGCAGCCCCCTGGCCCCCACAACTCAAGGGAGGAAAAACCACCCGGACCCGAGAATTGGCGTTTACGAAACGGCCCTGGGCGTTTTCTAAACAGCCCTACCTTGTTCGATTTCTTCCTTGGGTGCGTTTACGAAACGGCGTCGCGTGTCGGGGTGGTTGTTTGGGGGTGGATGCTTGCCCTCCTGTCGTTCTGAGGCTGTGCCCCCCTTTCCTCCTTCATCTCTGGTTAATTAAAGCTTCGCGCGGCCCGCTTAGCTTCGACCGGAAGAGGTGCGCTCTCGACCCGCGAATCAAAATGTTTACCCTCCTGCTCTACGATCGTGACACCCCGCCACCGCCCACACATGCGTATGCCTATGTGCGCGTCGGCCCCCCCCCGGCTCAGCAATCGCACAGCAGATGACAGCCCCAGCATGGGAAAGCCCAGCGTTCGCTGGGGATCGGTTTCCTCCCAAAGCAGCGACAACCCTGCCGAAACCTTGCGAAAACCCTCCCCGGAACCCTTCCCAGAGGATTTCCGGATTGTTTCGGGAGGGCTTCGGCTATTTCAAGAGAGAACCAGCCCCTAGCTAACCCTGGACTTTACCCTAACAGCACGATGAAGGCATAGCCTACCTTAGGCGCCCGTCCTTGCATCAGGAGTAAGCCTCACGCTGGCGCATCCCCAGAGCGATATCCATGTGATAGTTCGAGTTGCACTTTTTTGTGCTCTTCTGATGGAAAAAACACGGTGATACATTGACGAATGCAGCGTGCGGCATCCGCGCTGACGCCATAGCAACGTGAGACGCCCGCTTTTCCAGGGGGCTTGCCTGGCCGCCTGTGGCCTCCCATGTTTTCCTATGTCCTCGTGCGAGCCCTGTGGCCTCACATGGCCTCCCGGTGGTCTCCGAGCGCTTCCTCTGGCCTGCTACGACGTTCCCATGGCTTCCATGGGCGGGAATTGTTGTAAGCAGCGACTGCCCGGGTCCTGAATCCGTTGATGGTCGTGGCGCATCTCTTCGGCGAGATGGGCGTTTCGGACCTGTTGAACGCTCGGCAGACGAGTGCGGTGACACATTGTGTGAGATTGTGGTGATAAGGCGGTCATTTTCTTCGACGTGCGAGGGGCCGTTCGGATAGTGCTTGGGTGGGGCGGAGCAGGTATAACGTGTCACCCGGATCTTCCGGGCCCGGTCGTTGTGTTGTGTTGCATGTTGTTTCGTGATGCTTGCGTCCTGCTTTGGCCGTGTTTTTCGCCGACCTCTCTTGTGCACGTCCCGAGTTGCCGACGCGGGGGAGGGAGGTTGGAGGTGAGGAGGGAAGTGTGAGCGAGGCGGGGATGGAGGAAGGGCGCAGCGGCGCTGGCGTCAGCCAGGAGGCCCGCGCCTGGCGGGGGAGCGTTCCCGGGCGACGGACGGGGCCCCGGCGGCTCGTACATCGCGTGGGGGGCAGGTGCTCGTGTTGGTGCTCTGGGCCCAGGGGCGCGCCACGCCAGGGGCGCGCCACTATCGGATGCAACTCCTGGGAGGTCAAATCCTGATTTTGCCCTGGTCCGAAATCCCAGCTTAATCCCGCTTACTCCCGCCTAATCTGGCGTAATCCCGCTTCATCCGAGGCCCACTCTTGCGTAACAGCCTCCCAACCGGGCTTAACCTTCCCCAATCCTTCCGACGAAGACCTCCCAGCAGTTGCCTCCTAAGCCACTCCAAGACGATTTCAAACATTGCGCCACTGTTCCAAGCCACTCGGGGGTGGTCCAACCAGGGCCCCCGCCGCCGGTCGAGCACTGGTGCCTGGGATGTGTGTTTTGTCTGTGGCTGCTTGTTTTCATGCGTCGCCTCTCGTGCCCCCGCGGGCCTGATAGGCCATATGGGAGAGCCGGTTCGATGCATTTGCCCCCAAAAAACGATCCCTAATGCGCTGGGCGTCAATTGCTAAATCAAGCTCATCGGAACAGATCTTGATTAACCCAGGTGTCGCCACCCAAAGCCAGAAAACACGAGAAGTCGGGCACCATTGAACGAGAGGCACGCGTTTATGCGATGCTACGCCCTTGAATTACTATCGCAGGTATCGCGAATCCCATGGCGATGAGGATGATGAAGGCGTGTTGTAGCTATTGGGAAATGGAACGATGACGAGGAAGAAGAAATGGGGGGACAGTTTCGATAGACTGTTGCGCAGCAGCTGAACACAGGAAGAAGAGGAGAAATGAGTAATAGGAGGGGGTAAGACAGTGCAGACGAGCGTAGGCGAGAGTGGAGGAGAAGACAGGTGAGGAGGAAGAGGGACACAGACGCCAAGGTCTAATGACGAGCGGTGGGGGCGGAGGAGGAAAAGGTGGATGGAGAGGAGCAGGGATGTTTGGCAGGAGTGCTGGGAAGGAGCAGGAGGAGATGTTCGAGCAAGAAGCGCGCAGGATGGTGAGGACGAGGGCAGGGCTTCCAGAGAGCAACCGCCTGGCCAGGGCGTGCCAGATCTCCCCAGCTGCGCTGCGTCGTTCTTCCACTCGCGGCCCCGCTCTTCGGCGGCGCGCCCAGGGGGCTGAGGCCGAGGTGCTGGGCCTCCTCGGGAGGGCTCGGAGGGCCTCCGGCCGTCTGGGAAGGTCTCGGAGCCTCCTGCGAAGCCCCGCGGCTCTCTCCCCCTGAGCTCCGACGTCACGACAAGCTGCAGCATCGCAGGAGCCAGTTCGACTGGGGCCCTGGACCCCATCTCTCCGCTGCGCTCTCCGAGCTGGGCCACGGGGGTCCCGCGGCCCGAGACGAGGCAGGTTCGCCCGTTGTCGATGAGTTGCGACGCCAGGATCTCGGGAGAGGAGGCCTGCCCCCTCTCGCTTCCACCTTCGGCGCGCCGTCAAGCTCTGCACCGCTGGCTTGCGATCACGGGGGGGCAGTCTGCGGCGGGGAGCCGAGGAGCAGAGCCGCGCCCACGACGTGGACGCCGAGGTGGCCAAGAGGTGACGCGGGCGCACGCGGTGCTGCCGCAGCGTCTGGGCGTGCCCAGACCCCCATCGCGCCGTGAAAGACAGACGACGGACGGCGTGTTCTCCTGTGCTTGTGGCGCCTGCCCCTGGAGCCGTCAGGCTACCCTTAAGTCGGGCCTGTCCCTCCACAGGGGGAACATTCCAAAACAGTTTAAGAAATAGCATGGGGACTATTATTTGAGCATTGTTTGACCATTTTGGGATATGTTTGGGTTTTTTTTAACTTTCGTCGAACATCCCCCCTGTAGGGGGACACAGCCGTTTTGCGCTCAAGCCATTGAGCGTTGCAGGTGCAGGATTCAAAACGGCACTTCGTGCCTGCGAGTCAATCAGCATCGGAGAGGGCCGTACCCTCACAGTTCATAATCATTTCGCCGCCATGGGGAAGGGCGGCTTCGGCAAGCGCGGCCCTGGTGGTCAGTATGACAAGGGCGGCGGCAAGGGCGGCAAGAGCATCCCCTCGGCGGCCGCCCTCGAGCACGAGATCGCGCTGTTCGACAGTGGTGGCACGCCTCTTCCTCCTTGGGCTGCTCGGGCTCCAGGGGTTCAGCCTGATGGTCCTCCCGCCCTCTGGACATGCTCGGCGTGCGGCTGCAGGAAGAACGAGATGCGCTGGTCGCGCTGCAAGCATTGTGGCTCTCAGTGGACCCCGTTCCAGCCATACACGCCCACTTCCTTCGGCACGCCTGGGGGAGTCTGGTCTGCCGGCTTCAGCAGCAACCTGCCGTACTCCCCCTTTGCTGCTGCTCAAGGGCCACCAGGCTCCTTCGCGCCAGGCGACCATGGTGGCGGCAAGGGTGGCAAGTCGCCAGGTGGTCCAACCAAGCCAGAGACACCTCTTTCTCGTGAAGAGCACGCGTCTTTGGCGGAGCTGCTGGCTAAGGCTGGAGACGCTCTGGGAGCGGCTAAGCATCGTGAGCTGGCCAAGCCTCCACCTGTGGCCAAGGAGCCCACCCTGCAGCACCAGGTTTCCATGGCCCACAGCAAGCTGCGAGGCCTCGAGAGGAAGTTGCAGGGCGCGGTTCAGAGGTTCGAGGAGTGGTCGGTGCAGATGGTGGAACAGCGTGCTTTGGTCACCAAGTTCACTGAGGAGTGTGAGCAGGCCGACGGTGAGCATCGTCGATTGGTGGCCGCACTTCATGCTCAGACGTCGGCGGCCGACTTGCAGAAGGTGCCAGAGGACAAGGTCGCGCCTTGTTCGCTGTCGTCAATCATGGACGGGACCTTCACGGACAAGCTGGTCATTGACCCCTCGGAGCTGCTTGGAGGCGTCGAGGATTTCGAGCTCTCGGAGGCCGACAAGGAGGAGCTCGAGAAGAGGGGCAACCAGCTGCGAGAAGGCATCCAAAAGTTGGCACAGCGGCTGTTCGCGCAGGCCTCCGAGACTGCCAAGAAGATCCAGGAGGCACACAAGGAGCATCTCGGACGACTTGCCAAGAAGAGGAAGACTGACGAAGGTGCTGCTCCTGGCGCTGATGGAGGTGGAGATGCTGAGTCTGCCGCAGACGTCGCCGCCACTGGTCCAGCGGCAGCAGCAGCGCAGCTTCCAGAGGTTGATGCTGAAGCTACCGCGTCTGCAGCTCTACGTCAGCGGGCCGCCAAGATCATTCAGCATGGGCAGCCTGAACAAGACCCCCCCCCCTGCTGCCGCGTGAGCATCAGCAGGGGGGCCTACATCGTGAACACGTTCAATCCAGCGGCACGCTCACTTGCCCAGCCTGGCACATGTTCTCTCCGTTCCCCTCGGCAGGGGACTTTAATGCTCTGGGCCTCGGCCTTGCACCTTGGGGCGGAGACGAGAGTTGCCAAGGCTGGCAAGCAGAGCCCGCACCCGCTGGAGCTGCTGTCGACGCTCGCCCTCGTGGGTGTCATCAGCCTGCTGCTGAAGGAGTAGGGCTGGCTTTTTCTTTCAGAGTCGAGGATCCTGAGGTCTCAGGTCCTCTTGCACTGCATCCTGGATCCCTGGAGTGTATCTGGGGTTGTCTGGGTTTGCCGTCTTGCTGTAGGAACCTCCAGGAATCGTGCGATGAAACTGGAGGGTCCCACGAGCAGTACCCACTTTTTGCTCGAAGCAGCTTGGAATCTCGGTTCAGGACGCTCCTCCAGCCTCTGGGGGCACCCGTTTTCGGGCCTGGTGAGCTTTGTGCCACCAGGGCCACATTTGGCTCGGCCTCGGTGTGCAGTCGCAGCTCTTTTGCCTTTCGGCGTTCCCGCTGGGCCCCTCCCCACGTGAAGCGACCGTCTGCCTTTAAGAGATCGCACTCGTCGCTCAGTGGAGCGGTCAAGCACACCCTTTGGAGGGCCAAGCGGGTCCTTGCCGCAGGTTTTGCCAGCTTGGCGCGTGCTGTTCACAGTGCTGCCTCGTGCGAGGCGCATTTTTTCGGGTTTGCCAACCCGTGTGAGGAATATCCTGTGCTCGTCGATTTGCAGCCGAGCAGTCCTGTCGAGTTTTTTTCAGCGGCCCCTCGGACCCTTCGGTGAGTTTCGTCGCCTCGGGCTCCCCTGTGGCCTTTGTTGGCCACGGCTCGGCCCTTCTGGACAGTCTTGAGATTTGCATCCACACGGTTAATTGCAACCGATGGTCGACCATGAAGGAGCTCATGGCCAAGACTCCTGCGCACATCATCTTATGCCAGGAGCACAGGATGCGAGAGGATGAAGACCTCTCACAAGCCTCGGCGCGGTGTGCTCGCCAAGGGTGGAAAGGCATCTTTACTGCGGCCCACGGGACCGCCGCTGGTTCCACGTCGGCTGGCACTTGCATCCTTGTCAGAGACTTTCTCGGCCTTCATGAGCCCCCTGGGGGGGCGGTGGTTGCTGTTGGCAGAGCGACTGCTGGCATAGTGCACCTCCCGCGAGGTGATCGTTTCGCTCTCTGCTCTGTTTACCTCCATCACTCTGAAGGGTTGTCTGAGCGCAATGTCGATCTCCTGGCCAGTATAGGGGAACGTATGTCTTCCCTTTCTCTTCCGTTCTGTATTGGAGGGGATTTGAACATGGTTCCAGGCACTTTAGCCAGTTCGAAGTTCGCCGAGAAGTTGGTGGGGCTGCCTGCGGTGGCCGAGGGCCACACTCACTTTGGCGAGGGTCCCCCGTCCTCCCTGGACCACTTTGTGTTTTCGGGGGGGCTTGGGAAAACTGCCAAGAGCTGTGAGGTCGTCCTGGACACTACCTTGAGCCCCCACAGGCCGGTGCAAGTTGCGTTGCACGCTTCGTTTGGCAAGTTGAAAGGTCCTAGTTTCAGGAAGCCTCCTCCTCTCCCTGTCTCGGCTGTGGTGGGACCGCGTCCTGCTCCCCCCGACTGGAGTCTAGTGCGAGAGCTCGCTGACCAGGCCTCCCAATGTGTTGCTGTTGGTGATGCAAGGGGCGCATCGTCGCTTCTCTCGCCTTGCTATGCGGCCTGGGCTGACAAAGCCGAGGCTGAGCTTGTGCCAATTTTGGGACAGTCTGTCCCCTGTCTTGGTTCGAGATCCAAGGGCCCTCAGCTTGTGTGGAAGAAGCTGGTTGGTCGTGACCATGCTATTCGGGATCCTGAACATCATGCTGTGCGGTGGCTCAGCGTCCAATATCGGGCCCTAGCGTCGCTCCTGGATTCGAACCAAGGTGACACTCCTCAGGCGAAGTCGCTGACGACGCTGCTACAGGAGCCTCCGCAGCAGGTTGAAGTTTCTGCTGCCCTTCGGCCTCTCTTTGAAGAGGTTGCCCGTGCTGTCGCCGAGCCTTGTCGGGATCTCATTGTGGGCAGGTGTTTCGACGCGGCGCTTCGGGACAAAATTGATGTTGCGGTCAGCAATGCTCAGTCAGCTGCCAAGAAGAGATCCCGTCAAAGCTGGCAAGCTTGGATTCGCGCTGGCCTTGACGAGGGAGCGAAAAGAGTTCGCATGTTCACCAGGGACCCGTCACCTTGGAAGGCCACCACCACCCTTTCTGCTGATGGCACCCTTGTGTCTGATCCCCTGGCGCTCTTGGCTTCGGAAGGTTACAAGTTTGCCGCCTTCCGGGGCAAGGGCTCTGGAGCCTCTAGAGGCCCCCCGTCGCTTGGGCCGACGCTTCCGAGGGTTTCGGCCGACGAAATCAGGGAAGTCTCCAAGAAGTACAAGAGGGGTTCTGCGGTGGCCTACGATGGCTTTAGTTGTCGTCACTTCCAGTACTTGTGTGATGATGCGTTGAACTCGCTCGCCGTCTTGTTTGAAGTTATGGAAGCGCTCGGCGAATTGCCCGAGCAGATTTCTGCCGTGCTGCTCGCTCTTCTCTCGAAGCCCACCGGTGGCTACAGGCCTATAGGGGTGTTCTGCTCCTGGCACAGGGTGCGGGGGAAGCTGCGGCGCCCCTTCGCCCTCGCCTGGGAGCAAGAGCACCCCCGTAGGTACTGGGCTGTTGGTGGGCATCGAGGTGCTGCCGACGTTGTTTGGAGGCAGTCTGTTCGGGCTGAGCACGGCACTGCGTCGAATGAGGTTTCGTGTAGTGTGTTTTACGATATGCTTAAGTACTACGAGACCATTGATCTTGCCAAGTTGATGTCCCAATGTCAGCGACACGGTTTCCCCTCCCCGATTGCGCGCCTTTGCATCTTTGCCTTTCGGCGCGGCCGTTTCCTGTCCCTGGGTGGCATCCTTTCGGGCCCCTTTTTTGTCGAGCGAGGTGTAGTGGCGGGCTGCAGCTTCGCCACCACCCTCATCAGGGTCTTTGCCCTCGACGCGTTCGACTCCATTCCCCTGTCCCCCAGATGTGATTTGGACATTTACATCGACGATTCGGGGATTTCTGCGACGGGCCCTCGTCACCGAGTTATTGCCTCTATTGTTGCCAGCTCGCAGGCCTTGCACACGGCAGTGACCGACATGCTTGGCTGCAGTTTCGCCCTGTCCAAAGTGTGCACGGTCTCCTCTAATAGGGCGGTGGCCAGTGAGGTTGGCAAGCAGCTTGGCAGTCTGGCAGGTAGGATCGAGAATGTCACAGTCAACTTAGGTGTGGACT